GGCAGACATCACCATCACAGGCAGGGGAGAAGGTGAGAGCCAGGCCCCATGTGGGCAGGGCTGTGTGGCATGTTGAGGAGCCTCAGTTGGGCAGAGGCCTTGTCAGGAATGAGGCAGAGATGGGAGGAGGGAGCCTGGAAATGGCAGGTCCTCGAACATGAGACTGGGAACATAGATGCAGTGTGGGGTACAGAGCTGGGGCCTTTATCTTCGGTGGCTTTTGCTGGAGGATGAGATGTCAGGGAAGAGGACAAGACTGAGAGATGTCTCCTGCCCTCCCTGGAGGAGGGAGATGGGCCCCTCCTCAGCAATCAGCGGCCCTCTTGGGGTCTCCTGTGCAGTGAAGGACGTAGGAAGGTTGTGGGTCCTCATGGGCTTACCATAAAATATTTGCAGACTGGATCATTTTTCTTAAAACTTGTTATAAAAGCTTGAATTTAATGCTATCCATGGCCACTGCTGGCAAGTGTGCTTTCTTTCCAGCTCTTTTGGCTCCCAGGAAGATAGTTGCTCTCTAGGTTTGGGGGACCAGCCTGGTCCTACCTGGTTTCATGCTGCTGGGGAGCTCCTGGAGGTCTTCCTGGAGCTCCAAGGTTGCAGAAAGCAGGAGATTCTGTGTAAAAAGAGAGGAAAGGGACTGCTGACTGCCCCCCGATAAAAGAAACTTATTCCTGACATCTTAATTGTCTGTTTCCAGGGAATTGTAGTAGTTTCCCTTGGGCAGGGCACATGCCTCCGAAGGCTGACTTCACTGGGTGCATTTTAATAAGAGGACAAAAATGTGCCCTGACTAGCTGAGCTTCCAGGATGATCAAAGGGCACAGATTCTCTGCTCAACCAAACAGATGTCTGCCGAGTACCTCCATGTGCTAGATGCTGGCTGGCGGGCGCTGTGGAACTCGCAGAGATGAATAAACCATTGTCCTCCCGCTCAGGGAGGCGGTGTGGGGAGTTCAGTTGAAGCCCATTGTGGCAGGAACATAGAGGATGGAGGTCTGTGAGGGTTAAATTTGGGTTCAGATTCTGAGAGCTCTTGAATACAGTGAGTTTGGACATTATTCATTGACAATGGGGAGTCATAGAAGAGGTTTGAGGAGGAGCTACGTGACAAGGCCAGAATTATGCCTTAGAAAACTAAAAACTAGCCTTAATGGCAGTGAGGAAGATGGTTGGAGAGCAAAAAGGTTGGGCATATTGACTTTTTTTTGAGTTAGAGTCTCAAGTTGTCGCCCTGGGTAGAGTGCCGTGGCATCACAGCTCACAGCAACCTCAAACTCTTGGGCTTAAGTGATTCTCTTGCCTCATCTTCCCAAGTAGCTGGGACTACAGGCACCCACCCCAATGCCCAGCTATTTTTTTGTTGTTGTTGCAGTTGTCATTGTTGTTTAACTGGCCTGGGCCAAGTTTGACCCGGCCAGCCCCCGTGTATGTGGCCAGCAC